AATCTTAATTGATCCATCCTGATTCCTTAGCCGAATTGAACCAACCCCATTTGTTGCTAATGTGGTCTCATCTGCCGTGTAGACGACTCCACCTTCTTTTTCCTTGAAATCAAAGAACCATTCTCTATTGGACGTCATATGATGGCTACAACCTGAGTCCAATAGCCATGTACTAGAATGACCAGTAGGCATGACAGCTAATGAAAAATCTGAGTTTTGATCAATGCACTCAGATACATTTGAATCCGCAACAGCTTTTTCTTTGTCAGGTCTACCCTTCAGTTTTGGGCAGTCCTTCTTCCAGTGCCCTTTCTCTCTGCAAAAGGCACACTCATCTTTACTTAGTCTGGCTCTTGACTTGGATCTTCTTCTCGTCCCCTTTCTCTGGTTTTGTGAGCGTCCTCTAGTTACCAGAGCTTCTGCTGCTCCATCTCTGCTATTTTGCTTGTCTTTTCTTCTGAGCTCATAGCTGTACAGGGCAGAGCTAACTTCACTGAGGGACACCTCAGCTTTCCCATGGAGTAGAGTTGTTTCAAGATGCTCAAACTCCTCAGGAAGAGATCCCAACAACATGAGAGCCAAATCTTCGTCTTCAAATGTCACATCTAAATTCATCAGATCAGTGATTAACTGATTGAAATTAGTGATGTGATCACTTAGAGTTGTGCCAGGAACATAAGTGAAGCGAAATAAACGCTTCTTCATGTTGAGCCTGTTCTGACAATTTTTCTTCAAGAACTTCTCCTCCAATCCAGTCCATAATTTATTTGCAGAGGTTTCTTTTGAGAACACATATTTTTGTTCCCTTGAAAGACACGATCGAATTGTACCACACGCTAAACGATTTAGCGTCCTCCATTCCTTCTCTTCAATCTCTTCTGGTTTCTCTTTTTCGATGGCAATGTCTAGACCTTGATTAAAGAGCGCGTCTAGAATCTCACTTTGCCACATGCCGAAATGACCGGTACCATCAAATGTCTCCACATTTAATTTTGTATTCGTCATAACATTTCTCGCCATAATAGATAATGACGAGCTTGTTGATGCTTGCATTGTAGATGAAGATCTACTTTCGGCCATCTCTACTAATTATATTTAGTAGCTCCTAAATGTAGAGTAACAATAGCCCAAGAAATCTTTTCTGATGTGGAAGATCAGACCATGCTGCAACCACAGAGCATACTAAGAAACCTCGAGCTCTGATACCAATTGTTGCGGAAGCCCTACCAAAGTTAAGGTATAACGAGTAAATTATTGTACCTAAAATTGTAAAAATGGTAATTCCCAGGAAATATTTGGTGAGGCACACTGGCCTGCTTAAGTACCAATTTCCTAGACAGAATCACCTATATATGCACTTAATTGCACAATAACTCACTACAAATATACCTACAAATATACCTACTAAATAGACAATAAAATAGAACACCAGAATTTAACGAGGTTCGGCTAATTTGCCTACGTCCTCAGACACTACCGACAATTTAATATTTCACTAGAAGAAATATTACAAAGAGAGAGAAGAAAACAAGTTATTGGCTCTTGCTTGGTGTACTTGAATTGGTTTGTTTGAGAGCTATTTATAGTTCTCAAACAACCTCTCAAATGTTAAACTTAACCGATGTGGGATTTAGAAACTTAAGCCAAAGAATTCAAAGTCCTCAATTTTGGCTTGAAAAAGTCATCAATTGAGGCTTGGCTTTGAATTCAACAAACGGGACAGCTGGTTTTGGGCAATGGCATGGCAATACAGCCACATAACCTATCAAGAAGGCGGGCACTGGGGAGCTAATTGGCAAGAAGAGGACGTTTACGTTTAAGTCAAAAGAGGAGACTCAGGGCCAATGGACTATGTACGAGTACTATATTGATGGTGATAGTTTGGAAGGGCTAAACAACGAATTAGATACTTCTTTAGTACTTTGTCGGATAAATAGAGATGACTCCAAAAGCTCTAAAGGAGGAAAACTAGTATCAAGATGAAGATATGGCATTGTCGAATCCAATGATCAGGGGTTGACTAAATCAGCAAAGAGAAAATCGGACATTGATCAATTTGGACGCACTAAGAATTTGAGATCTAACCCTACTGATTAGTGCTAACGATTGCTCTGATTGGAGTACTAGGATGGTACTAAGTACCAGTACTCCACCTGCAGCATCAAACATGAACAACGAGGAGCCAGATATTGCCGGCAGCAGTGGAGCTATTGTTGATGCAGCCCTTGGAGATATTGTGTATGACCCTTCTAATTTCAATGTTTTACCAGTTGAAGACGATCCTAATGGTTGGATCATCATGGAGGAACTGGATCCTAATTGGATACCAGCGAATGACAGTTCTGCAATAGATGGAGAACAAATTAATGGACCAATCCAGGCAAATTAATCCTTGATAGACGTTAAGAAGTGGAAATCACTGATATCTTTCACAGAATTGGTGTCTTGATCCTTGTAAGGCAGTGAATCCCTGGCTCAGAAAGCAGTCAAATTTGTAGTAACAATTTGTAGCCTTTGCCAGAGGGACACCTGAAATGCAAAATCAGACGCTCCCCATTTCTCTCCACTCACGCTGCTTCCGGATAAGGTCCTTCATCACTTTCAGTCACCACCTGACTCACTTCACATTCATCCTGTGAAAAAATTTTGAACTCTTAACTGTTCCATTGGTCAATTAAATTTCAATTTACAACTAAAACAAGACTATCAAAAGAAAAGCCAAGAGAGAAGATTAATGAGTGACATTTAATTTAAACATGAAAAATTAAATGTGGCATGGCCGATTATATGTGTAGGTCTCGTATTTGTCGTTTTCCTTTTTGGAACAAGAGTTCCGCTTCATATTGATGCACTACTCAATTGTTTCTGTGCCCATCTCTCCAATTTCACTTGGTAGGTGAAAAGTGATGGGCGATCATGGAGTAAGAATAACATAAAGCCAATTTGACACACACACACACACACAATGGTCCAACGAATAATATATCTATTATCTATTATCTATATATCTATCTATCTATCTATCTATTACTTTACTATATAAAAAGCATGATGAGTCTTTATTGCGAGTGTAAGCAAAAATCAATCTTAATTTTTATGATACCAATATTGCCCTTGACACTAATAGATAGACAAGATTACATTGCATTTTCTTAATAATTAATAAGATTTATGCTAACAGTTACAAATAAACATTTCTTGAATTGTGGTGATTTTGGTGCATTAAACCAAAAAAAGAACAACAAATTCATTGCATTTCATCTATATTAATATCAATTATGCCAACAATTACAAGAATGAAAAACATTCCCTTGAGTTATAGTGAATTAAATCGAAAAAAGAAGGACAAATTTTATTTATGAATTATAAAATAATATGGTGAATCTTAGTGGTTAATAGTGTAATAAAAAATTATATTAGTTTTTGTGATGCCAAAATTACATTCCTCTCTAATAAATGGACAAATTGTGCTGCATTTTATCGTTAATAAATAATATCAAACATGCTAACAGTTACAAAAATGAAAGGTTCCTTACTTTTTAATTTACCAAAAGAAAGAAGAACAAAAATTTTTTTTTTCAAAATCCAAGTTTAGAGAGTACTTCAAACATGAAACAAAATATAATAAATTGGTACTATGAGTCTCTTAAAAAGTACCACAAGTCTTTTTATTTTTTGGATGCAACTAAATTAAGCCTTAAGAGCACCATTTTAATATGCGTTTATCAGTTTTGAGTAAAAAAAAAAAACTTTAATTCAAAATATAATAGGAAATAGAGTACCAAGGTAGGCAAAGAGTTTTATATTAGGAATTTATTTATTTAAATTGCAATAAAGATTAAATTTAATGAACTTTATCAATCATATTCTTGTAACAACTAACAATATTAAACTACAATTAATGAATATTATATCCATCAATGGCAATCATAATAATAATTACAAAGGTGAAACATACCTTTGAGTTATGTTGAATTAAGCCAAAACAATATTTTTTTTATAAATATCAATTTCAATGTGAACTTTACAAGTGAATAAAAATATATCCATGTTCAGTTTGACTATTACATAACAAATAATCTTAAAATCTGACAAATTTTAATCATATAAACTTTATAATCATAAAGCATGTCATCAGTGAGAAATACAATAAATTACATCAAATCAAAATATTTTTCTTCAAAGTTAAGCTATTTAAATTTGAATTATGGAATTTCAATATGTTTATATACTATTATAATTACAATAGCATCATAGATTATTTTACAATCCACTGTTAGCAAAAAAAAAAATAATAATTAGAAAATCTTACTGAAACTAATGAACAATTCATAGAATGACTTAAAGGGAAGCAATAAATTATTCAAAAAATTTAAAATTTAAACTCAAATGGCATGAAAAAAAAAAGCATTTAGATCATCTGAATTTAACCAAAAGACAAAAATAAAACAAAAAATGTCAATATTGTTACAAAATAAAAGTGCTCTTGGAACAAAGAATGATTTATTGCTTGTACAATTGTATTGGTTAGGGCAAACTAAGTTCAAAAAAATATAAACTAATATAAATATTAAATATCACATTTTTTTCCTCAATTATCTTTATTCCTTCAAAATAATTGATTTTCTAAAAGTTTTAAAGGAAAAAAATATAAAAGCATCATGTTCACGTGCAAAGCACGTGCTCCATTGCTAGTATATATATATAATTTTTTTCTCATATTTGTCCAGACTATTTTTGGAGTCTTTAGCGAGCTAATGCCTTTCTATGGGTCAACCCTATGGTAAAATAACTTTCACCATGCATATCTTACCCATTTCAGGGTTTGATTTGCTTTATGTAAGCAAACATGGGCACTTGCACTGATAAGATATAAGATTATGCATAATGAAGTCTGGAACAGAAAAAGAAGAAGTAGCAGCAGTAGTCTGAGAAAAGCACGCAGTTCTCAAATTCACATTTGAATTAGTGACTTGCAGCCAACACTCCAATAAAGATAATTAAGCAAAGTTGAACTCCATTACATATATTTGGTAAAAGCACCATTTATTCCAGCGCAAGTCATATCCAAATTCAAGGAATTAGTGATATAAAGCCATCCATTTAACTTGGATTGGAAGTAGTTTCCACTCTTCACTGAGGATTTGGTGGGCGGCTATTGGCAGATGAAACTCTGGATCCCCATTCGAGCAACTCTTTGCTTGTGTCATCTTTGTGAACGATCACTTCTATGAAGCACAAACAGTCTTTCTTCTCCCCAGTTGCTGTTTCAATTGCGTTAACTAGTTCCTCTTCACAGCATACCTGAAAATTTGTATCACCATAATAATAATCCGTCGCAACAGAATATTAATATATTGCAGTCCTAGGCTACTTTTTTCTTTTTTACTCCCCTCTCCTTTGGGCGGGGTTAGCACAAAGCAGGAATTACCTTTGTGGTCCAGCAATTGCCTTCACCATTGCAAAGTGCATCCACTAATCCAGTGTAGTTCCAGTTCTTAATCACATTGTATGGACCATCATGAATTTCAACCTCTATGGTGTATCCTCCGTTGTTAATCAAGAAGATGATAGTCTTTTGGTTGGAACGAATCATTGTACTCACATCTTGGGCAGTCACCTGCAACACAAAAATTTTATTAGCCCCGAAACCTCATGCTCTTAAAGATCAATGAGATTTCCCCAATTAAGTGTAATTATTTCTCACCTGAAAGCTCCCATCACCAATGCAAGCAATCACCCGCTTTTCAGGTACGGATTGAGCATAGCCAAGCGTAGCACCAACGGACCACCCAATGGAGCCATATTGCATTTGAAACTCATATCTGCAGCACCAATTTTTGCTCGTTAATTTTTATAGAAAGAAAATGGATGAAAAAGCACTAAATGACATCGATACCTACCCACATCCTTCTGGTAATTTGAGCTTCTGGCAGTTGAACCAGGAATCACCTGTCTCAGCAATCACAGCTGTTTGGCTAGAAAGCATCTTCTGGATGTGCTGGAATAGTACATTGACCCTTAATGGCTCAGTAGGCTCACTTTTCAGGGGAAGCCCTTCAGGGACAAAGATCCGTCGATAATTTTCATGGGCAGTGTTATTCTTCTTGATCTTTTTGGCCAATTCGTGAAGGAAATCTTTCATGAGCACGCAACCAAAAGCAGGTCCGTTGCCAATGACAACGCGGTCAGGCTGCACAATGATGGCTTTTTCCTTCTTGAGCAAGAGTGAATATCCAACTGAACTGTAGTCATTGAAGATTGGACCGACGAATATATAAGCATCAGCAGATTCCACAATCTCAGAGCAAAAGGCTGTGCTAACTGCACCCCAATAAGTGCCAATAAAGTGAGGGTGGTGCTCTGGCACTAGGCCCTTCGCTGATGGCATCACGGAAACTGCGTAACCACAGGCGTCAGCCAATTCAACGAATGCATCACAAGCTTTTGCAACTCTCAGCTTTGGGCCTCCAACCATGACTGGCTTCACTGCTTTGTTCAAGAAGGCTGCTGCTGCTTCTACTGCAGCCTGGAGTCCCCTCTCATTACTCAATCTGCATCCATGTAATAGTCTCAGGCATCAGTTGATTTCCTATAATCCAAGAATGAATCTAACAAGCATTTAAGCTTATAATCAATTTAATGTACCTTGGTGAGATTGAAAATGGAATGGGCTCTCTGTCGAAAGTTGGATGAGGGATGCCTGCCAAGTTGCAACTGACGCTAATGTAGACTGGCTTGCTTTCTTTCAGAGCAGTGGAGATGGCTCTATCAATTTGTTCATGTGCATCTTCTAAGTTATTAACCACTGCCTAGCACAGAAAATTCACCCCCAACAAAAAGGGAAAAAAAAATCACAGCCATTCTCAAGCCTTCAGGACAAAAAGCAGCAATCAAAAAATCCAAAACATGCAATGGTGACAATTGTGGAGGATTTGACATCCACCTGATTTAAATCAATATGTCTCAGTCTTAGTCGGGTCAAGGGTAGGGGTTATTTGTATAGTGCAGATCTGATCAAATTGTGTGTGTTGAGCTAATTGATGTTTAGTTTTTAAGCATCATCAAGTAAAATTCAGTAATAGTAGTCCATTAACAAGAATACTAATCATAAATGGACAAGTGCAAAGACAAAGGAATGGAGCTTGAAACGCAAAAAGGTATTGTCAGCCATTTACAGGAAAAAAATAATTGAAATATCAGCCACTATAAACAATGAAAAGTTCCTATGGATGGGAGCGAAAGAGTTTGCACGAAATATGTAATTGAGCGCTTCAAGCGATTAAGTCCTTGGATAAACAATAGTTCATGCAGATTTAGAAGGTAGGAAGCAATCATGTAGAATGGGTCAGGTAAGAAGCAAATGGGATGACAGAAAAACAGAGAATCATTCAAAGTAGAACTTAATGTAATTTGAAAAAAAACAATGCCAGAAAGCAAGTATAATTAGTCTAATTATCAAATATACCTCCAGAATTGTATAAATTGGTACAGTCAGATCTCCATCAATCACAACACTTTTGAGAAGTGAACTGTGACGACGGCCATAAGCAAGTAATAGATGCTCAGACGTAGGGGAGAACTGCAATTACAAAATATAGAACATCTTAAAATAGGAAATTCTTGCAATTCCATTTCTTCCTGCATTTAACCAGACAAAGAAACATATCTTGTAAAATCTTACAAACTAAAGTATCTTGCACATAAATGAAACAGAAACTTGTTAGATAAACTACTTAACCACCATGACACGTATAGCTTCTCAATCATCACAGACTACTGATTAATGATGATGCTGACTTATCATAACAGATCACCTCTTATCATCTGATAGTTTAAGTCATTGAACGAGATGGCAACTCCACATATCACAAACATAGGCAAAGGCCTTGCGTTCAATTCTCCTCACCACCTAGTATAAAATGTGCCCAGGAGTTGTGCTAATAGAAAATTTCTGAGTGAGTTTTATCAGAGTGCAAAGGAAACCAACGTAATCTCCTTTCCAACAGCTTAGAGTTAAGAGGCTTAAATCTGGTAATTAAGCAGTTAAGAATACATTCAACTCAAGGCAAAGCAGAATGTAGGAAAGCAATGAACTTTGCCATTTTTTTCTTCTTTTCATTTGGGCTCTCTAATCAATTGCCTTCTCTACGTTCTTAAAAGGGAAAACAGAAAATAAATCACTCTCTCTTTTAACTTTATCAGCTTCAAAATTAATATGTTACCCAAATTCAACTGTAACTCAGCTTTGAGCTCATATGAACAATCCATCTGCTCAATGCTGAGTACAATGAACTGCAATGCAAATGGATAGTAGGATTCAACTTTCCTTCTTTTTTTCTTTTTCTCCTTTGAAGCCCACCCCACGCCCTCTTCCCCCTCCCCCATTTAGGAGAAGGAAAAGGTAGGGCTAGGAAGACTAAGTCTTCTTGGCATTCAATTTACACAGTGATCTATTTCATTTAGGAAGAAAGAAACCATGTTATACTGATAACTTATTGTAAGTAATATTCAAAACTAATTGTGCCAACAATAAAATCCAATTATGGAGAAATCAGCCTGCGAAACAATTACTGTTTTACTAATCCATTTCTGTTTCTTCCTAAACTCCATGAAGATGCACACTACAATAGGATGGTAAGATCACACACTAAAAATTTCAAACATTGGCGTACATGACATTAGTTCATTCAGGGGATAATTCTGCTCTAACTAACAGTGTTGTACTATACCAAAATGAATAACTTCAGATAGGTAAAATTCAATAGTATTTGCACGATCACATAAAGCCATGGAGATATCGTGCCAACAATTTCAGCAATAATACTGACCTGAATGGAAGTTAAACAATGAGCAGCTCTGATGGCCCGTGATGCAAGCACCATCCCAAATCTACCAAAAAAAAAGGGCTCGAGTAAGACAATATACTTGCCAATGTGATAGGGGTAATTACAGAATGGTTTTTGAGCCATGTACAGGACTTACGTTGCCTCCTCAAGAGAATATACTCGTAGCTCATACATTACTTTGTGGGCTGAAATTGGATGTCTGGTTGGGGATGTCGCAACCCCAGTGGCATCATGATGAACTTGCCCAGGAAAACCAGGATCAGCTTCCATGTTTGGTAGGACACAAGCGACACAGGCTGCTAAAAATCTACCACACGGCGAAAAATGGGCTCCCATTTCACTGGAAAGAGAATGTAAAGGACGCTTAAGCATCAAGAGAAATATAGCTCATAATTTCACATTTTAGTAAAAAAGTCAAGATCTAGGATATGCAGACATGATCTTATCATCATAACTAAGTTTAAAGATCAGCAAGAAGCAACTTCCATATGTATCTTTCTGCTAAACAGTTGTCAAAGAAACTAGGCAGTTTTTTCATTTTCTTGTTTTGGTAAAACTAGGCAGCATTAGGATATAACAGTAAACTCTCTAATGTGTTAACATGAATGAAGATATACATACCTACAAAGAACTGCATGGGGTATGGTTAAGCGACATCTTTCTGCATCAAGAGGTGCACAAGGATCTTTAACATCATGAGACCATAGCCGAAGTTTCACGGTGCATGGTAACTCAGCAGTTGCTGCTGCTGCCATTGAAGTGGCTACCTCAGGCTGAACCTGGCTTATGATAGGATTAGTGTTGCCATCATCATGTACAATACTGTTATAAGTAGCACCATCACCAGATCCAGCTCCAGGTACCCGTGGCCGTGAGGAGCGGTGCCGTGAGCCAGATCTTCCAGTAACTCTTGAATGAGCAGCATCATTTGACATAGAGGAACTTAATGGAGCAGGATTCTCTATATTATTAAAAGAAGAAATATGCTCATTACCACCACCATTTTGTGAACGCATGGCACGGAGGCCAGCTTGGCTTTGTCCAATCAACCATCCTTGCAGAAATGGAAGTTCCCAGTATGCTGGATCACTGAAAGGGAAAAAATGATTGTTTCTTTCCTCAGGCTGAATATCAGTCTCCATCGCATCCACCACGGGCTGGGATACAGCATTATCTGTCTCCCCCATCAAAGAATTAGGTTGTTGCTCTTCTGTCGAACTATTCGGTTCCATAGGAGACAGCAAAACTTCGTACTGACCCGTTGGAGTTGAATACGTGAGAAGTCGCACAGAGTTAGATGGATCCACTCTTTGTTGTGCACTATCAAGACCCACATCTGTATCAGTCTGCTGCAAAGGTAATCTGCTATCACTTCTACCAACCAAAGGCCATATCAAGAATGGTAAAGATAAAAGAGGCAACTCATTAGGCAGATTAGACCGCGAATTTGAATGAGCATCTGCCAAATAAACGGTAGGAGGAGGGTAGCGCAAGTAACCAGGGGAAGTTGCAAGTGTCATTGAAGAATCAGTTGAATCAAGGTCATTAACCTAGAAAAGAGTAAGACCAGGGTTGATTCCAGTAAAAAGATAACTAAATTAAGAGCATCTAAATCTCCAAGATGTTACCTCAGCAGTGAGAAGAAATGGAGCAGCATAAGGGTGGAAATGCACAGCCCGTAAGGAACGGCGTGTCTTAAGTACAATTGTTGGTGGGGATGTCTCTGCCCTCCTATTGTAGTGCCATATGTAAAGCTGCCAGATGATTAAGGTCAATCTAAGGATCCAACACCTAACTCAATCATATGTTGATTTAGAATACAAACCTTGTGGCCTGAAGCCACAGCCAGAAATTCCCCCCGAGCATGGAAAGCAATGGAAGCTATAGGGCGGTCTGCAAGGAAAAAATTTTCAGCAATTGCACACGCCAGCAATATGTATATGAAGCAGGCAAAAAATTCCTAAACTTAGAGTAGTATTAAAGAGACATACAAAAATCACGCGATCCTATACATTCTGCAGTTTTTGCATCCCATAATCGAACTTCATGGTCCAAACTTCCACTGGCTAGAAGATCAGGATACAGTGGATGGAATCTAACCTACAAATGTTCCACCAGCATGTCAGATAATCAGGTAAAAATAGAAAAGCAGAATACTCAACAAAATCAGAGGTAATCATCTATAAAATGCATCCAGATAAATCATACACAAGATTCAAGGGCCACTCTTCAAATGATGCACATATTAGTGTTTCACTTCATTCAAATTAACATTTCTTCTATATATTTTTCTCAGGATAGTTAGAAGTTCGTCAGGTAGTCTTTACCAACTACAGTCACTAACTGAGATGTAAGCTGTCCCAAAAGAAAGCCTTACCACCCATGGTGTCCTCCGATGACCACTCAGCACCTTTAAGCATTTCCCAGTCTGGCAATCAATTATCTTTACAGTATGGTCACCACTACCAGCAAGAAATCAACAAGAAGTCCATCAAATTATAGCTTTCTAGAACAGAAAAAGTAAAACAAACCTATATTAGCATTTAGACTGTTCTTCTACATATCATCACATTCACAAGAGTACAGCAGCGAGGGGCACGCACATTGTGAATCTGTATACAAGAGACATACAGAAACAGGAACATGCAAAGACACACATACATGCACACACCCAACCACACACAGAGCAAAAGAGGAAGGGAGATTTAACTGCGTAGAAGCAAGTGTTTTCCCATCAGGACTGAAGGCTGCTGCAATAGTTGACCTTGGGGGAGGCAGAAGAGGACAATAGTCAGCTGTTAAATGTTGCAAAGACTCCGCCTCCACCCTAGAAACAGTAAGAAAAGGACATAAATTTCAAAAACCTAACAGTGGCAGCTTTCAAAACTTGTAATATAGTTATAGAGTAACTGCAAAAGAAGCATGTTCAATTAGACACCATTAAAAAGAGAAGTAAGATATTTACCATGAGATGAGACCTCGCCTTGCGTCAATTTCTGCATCACTTTTTGTACCACAAGCATCCACATGACGTGCAGAAGCCTCTCCCCAAAACTTCTTTGAAGAATGTTTCATTCGAGGGGCAATCTCTCT